TGGTTATTGGCCAGCTGACCTGGAGAAGAACAGTTCAGCTTCTTGTGCCAGGTTCAATGATGAACGATGACCTTCTACGTCCATTTATGGTCATCCATGTCCGTTTCTTTGAAAGTTCTGTTGTGAGCTCTACTTGCCCATGGCTAGCTCACAATATAGCACCAAGGTCAGCAAAATTTGGCTTCTCTTCTAGAATTCACTGCTGTTCGAAAGTTGGCTCCTGCTGGTCCCTGGGTAGCTTCTGGACAAGCCAGGACCTTTTGCTACCTAGGTTGAAATGGAACCAGAGATCTCCACAGGGAGGAAGAGCAAATGAGGGAACAAGTGTGGTGCTGCAAGCTCCGCCCCTTTGATATGCATGTCATGATGTCATGCACACCCCCAAAAGTGGCAGAGCTTCTGTAACGCCCTCATTACATTTGTTTCATCATTCTCATCCTGCAGATAATTCTGAAAGGACCTCCCTCTCTCATTCTGCATATTAGCTGGCTTGGACAATCATATCTTTGTGTCCTCAAGATGATGGGACAGTATTCTACACTACACCTGAGGGCGACAGGTTAGCTTGGGCCAGGCTACATGATACACAGCTTTCTCCTCTAACACCTTGGTGCCACTTCCCAGCCTCTGCTCTCTACCTCAGTCTGCCACATGGTAGACTCAGTCTTGTCTAGCTTCAAAGTCATGGTCCCGCTAGCTTTTCCACTGTGCAGATTCTCTCTTCAAACTCTTCCTTTTGCTTTTGTTAGAAGGAAAAAGAACAATGTAATGCATTTCATTTCCCCATCGGGCAGGGCTGGTTCAGGGCAGAGGTCTGAACAGCAGTGGGTAGGGACTTGGCCTTCAGTGGACTTGGCCCCCCCCATCCAAGCCCTCCTCCTGGAACAAGCTACTTTGCTATGCCTAATGGTAGGGCTGGTTACCCCTCCATCCTAACACATGTTGATCATGCCCCAACTATCCACGTGTACAGAGCTTGTAAGGACATTTACCGCTGTGAAAATCATCTAGCCAAGGTACCATTTGATATAGCTTCTTCATGGGGCATCCATGCACTGGAAAAAGCAGGCTGAAAATAAATCAAAGGTGTTTGGGAATGAGAGAAGAAACTGTGATTGCGCAATCAGCCGTGTAAAGGAAGCTCTCTCACCATGGGGATGGCAAGTAGGGGATGGGAATGTTGATTTAAGAAGGGGAGGAAAACCCCACCAATTCCTTTTGGGTGGGGAAGTCCTGGTATTTTCCCCCCTCCCCATCTTTTGGTTGCAAAACCTGCCTCCCCATCTCTGTTCTTGGAATTAACCAGCATTGATTCTTCTTTTTCCAGGGCTAAGATCCAGCCGCTTGTTTTACAATTCTTGTTGTCATTGTTTTCCTCGACTAAAAGAAGACTCAACTCACACACATACCCACACACACACACAC